TTCCGATAATTTTTCGTTAGAAATTTGGTAATTTCTTGTAGTGTTTTCTTCGGATGTAAAATAAGAACATTATGTATATTACATAAAAATAAAAAAGAAAAGTTACAAGAATTATAATTTTTTACAACTACATGTTTATTAATCTAAAAGAAGTAAATTATTAATTCTTTCGACTTTTAAAGGCAAAGCAATATGACATTAAAAAGGCCGTAATGTTCTAGATATTGGTATAATTAAAATATAGTAAAAAAGGAAACAAATAAATTAGACATTTTAAGAATCTATTACATGAGAAGGAAGTAGTAAAAGACAGAGGTTTACGTTTTCAAAAGAAAGACTTATACTAGGAAGTTAGTATAAATACCTTACAAATTTAATGGTAAGTGTCCCGTAAAATTGCCTTCACAATTTAGGAAAAACTAATTAGGAAATATTATGTATGTAATATGGAATATTTTAGAATATGAACTCTAGCTGTAAAAATTTTAAAAAATAACTATTTTAGACATAATTAAAAACAATTCAAATATGTTGCAAGATATAATTTAAAACATGTAATATAATATAGTGATGTATACAGTTTTATACTTTCTCTGTTTTCTCTAAAAAATTACTTTCTTTATTTGAATTATTTTTATTTTTAATTTATTTGAATTCCTTACTTTATTTTCTCTAAAATAAACACAATCTAACAAGTGTGTGTGTCTTTGCCTTTCTATGCTTCCCCTTATATAGCCACACCAGGGATAGAGCTAGAGTCCACAGAGCACTATCTTTTGCAAGAACTCTTGTAGAAAGAAAGTGGAGACAGAAGTAGAGGAGAGAGAACAAAGACAGATATTGTCATAGTGGATCCTCTGTTCTTCCGCTTTTGATTGGATGTTAAGTTGGTAAACTTTCAAAAGCTTAATTTTTTTTTTAGCGATGTTTTGTAGATGTTCTTCGGCATCTGTTGGATTGGATGGTTAGTTGGTAAACTTTCAAAAGCTCTTGGTTGGTTACCTTTTCTTAATTTAAATTTTTAAGGGATATTTTGAATAAAAAATTTAAAATTTTAAAAATTATAAAATTTTGAATATTTTTAAACGTAAAAATATTTTGATTATTTAGAAAAAACTTGGAGATTAAAGCAAAATTATCTAAATTAAGGCCTTAAAAGTAAAAAAAAAACTTGAAGCCAATGTTTGAGGGGGGAAAAAGTAAAGAACAGGGTTTGAGTGAAATGTAGAGTGCAGAAATAGAGACAAAAATATAATTATTGTTAGAATGAAATGGTGTAAATAACATTAGGGATGCTTATTGCATTCATTAGTCAAAAAAAATTTTGCTTGTTATGTAACAACTCAATTTGTTCCTTGAAGAAATATTTTCCACCTTAATTTGTTTATTTCACTCCTTTCAAGGCTCCTTAATTACTTGAGTGGTTATTTTCAAGTTTGTGAATGTTTGAGGTTAGAAGAGCATTTAATTAATGCAACAAATTCTTTTCACCTCTCGAGGAGAATCTTATCTTCCTTATAATGCAGTTCCTTATCGAGAAGGGCTACGAGTGCGAAAGCCCAAGTAGAGAATTTCCGACTGTAGTAGTAGGGACATTGAACCAACGCTCATCTCCGACAAGCGTGGACTCTCATCCTACGGCAAATACAAATTATTCATTTGTATTCTTGCCATGGTGAACATCACATTCAAAATCATGGTATACATATATTTCGTTAAATATTTCATTCTTTCAACGTTTTCCTTTTATTCGGATTTTCTTTATGCTTTCACTCTCTAGATTACTTGTCATATAGGCAGCATAAATGGTCTTGCATTTGTTTGTCCCATGGATCAATTTTAGGTCATTACTTGTGGGGACGATAAAACCGCAAAGGTCAGTTTTAGTTTGCACAGTAGTTTCATTTCTGTAACAAAACTTTTTAGTCTCTCTTCCTTTTCATCATTTAGTCAATGGCCCCATTATTTATAATTTCTACAGCGTGTAAGCTAGAAGTCAAAACAGAATTATAAGTACAAATACAAACTAAACTCAACTAGAATAGACATAGGAATAAATTAAATAATCTGTTGACCAATACAGTCAAGAGTACAAGTACAATAGTTTTAGGGAAAAAAAATCTTATCCAAATCTTAACAAGGACCTAAGAACAAACTAGATTTTCCCTATACCAATTGATTCTTGGCTGTTGGATTCTATGAACCGTACCTGATCGGCAAGGTATCTCCCAAATGCCTCGAAAATGGGTTGGAGGATTTCTCTTTATGTTTTACCGGATTGCATCTTGCCAACTCTTTTCCAAAAATGGCTGGAATCAGTTGTATGCAAATTGATAGTTCTCGGGTGTGAAATATTCAAGTATTGGATGATTTCTAACTTTTTTAGAAGCTTTGGTCAAGCGTTGAATAAAGATTAGTTAAATGTCAATTGATTTTAGATGAATTGGAAAAGTGTTTAGACCTCACTTTTATAATCTAAGGTGTCCTAAAGAGTGTAAGAATTCTTAAAATGTTTGGAAACCTTAAAAATTGCAGAAAAAAAAGCAAAGAAACCTGTTTTGGCAGGTCATAATATGTTAGAGTTGCCAATTTTAGTGTTTGGTGCACCATGGTGCCCCAGACAGCCCCCAATGCTACAATAACGGTAAACTTTGTCTTTTATACAAAAATTCACTCATATTCAAACTTTCCAATTGTCGCTATGAAGTCCAAACCCCTTAAAGATTCTCCCAAATTACTCCAAGGCATTTAATTAATCCAACTAAGCTTGCCCATATAAATTCCAATTTCTTCATTTTAGGGCCTAACAACATGAAGTTGCTCCTATTGCGTCCCATAGGATTAGCTAATTAGACAGGGTGTAATATATTATTTTCTGAAATTTAGCAGATTTTTCTTCCCCTTGTTCAATGGAAAATAGTGGTGAGATTTCCTATATGACATAAACCTTCAAAAAGATGAGGATTATTTCAAGATAATATTTTTTTCAAAAATAAAATAAATCAATCTAAATTAAATACTAAATAAATCTATATTTAATCTAAATCAAATACTAAATAAATATAAATTTAATCCAAATCAAATAAAAAATTAATAAAATTCCATAAAATATCCTCCCCAACCATAGTTGCCTTTTATTAAGGGAACTAGCTCCAACGGGTTTTTAAGACTGAAGGTGAGGAAAATGGATTAGCCCAGTTTACCAATAGAATCGCATTATTATTATTTGTCGTTCAATTTGTAGAAAACTTTGGTAGCCGACGATAAAATTATAGAATTGATAACTATTCCATGGTTACCTTACCGGAGTATTTATCTTAATGGAAGACCAATTGAAGAATCTCTAAAATTCAAAAAAATTGTTAAATCAAAATAATAAAATATCAAAAAAAAGGCATAGATATAAAATGGATCGAACATTATTTTCTTCTTCCTTTATCAATGGAAGAACTTGAAAAATTAATGAGAAAATTTTTAACAATAATAGGTGGCACTAAATAGTAATTGGGGCGACTATTGACATCAATTTTTTTAATTTCAATTTAGCATATCTTTCCAATTATTCAGAGTTGAAGCAATTCTCCTTCGAATCTCTATCGAGTTGGATCTTATGAATTTTCTCTCTCAAAACTTATATTTTTTTATGAATTTTTGCAATTTTTCGCCCCCTTCTTCAATGGGAAAGTTCTCCTATTTATAAATGAGAATTCCTTGAAGTAGTGAGATTTATCAAGTGACATAAATCTCCAAAAAATGATGACTTTTTCAAGATAATATTTTTTTCTTTTTCACTAAAAAAATTAAAATAAATCTAATCTAAATCAAATAAGAAAATCAAATAAAAATTTAATAAAATTTCTAAAAAGTCCTCTTAAATCATAACTCTTTTTTTTTTTTTTTGGGAGAGAATTAGCTCGTGCTCGTTCTTTAAGGTAAAGGTCTTATATGTTATTCTATTTGTAGAAATCTTTGTTAGCTAGTGATAGGTTTGCAGAACTAATAGCTGTTATTGGTTGCCTTGTATTAGACTTAATTTGTACTATCCACAATTATGATTGATATTCTAATATTAAAATATGATCTATATATAATCAAAGAATTCTTTTCAAGAAAAGACCAATTGAACAATCCCCAAAATCTGAAGGAATATATTAAATCAAAATAATAAATATTAAACAAAGTCATACATTTATGATAGATCTAAAAATTTCTTTTTTCCTCATTTGTGAATGGAGGAAGCTAAAAAACTAAATGGAAAATTTTCAATAATAATGGGCAGCATTAGGAAACAATTAGGGCAATTGTTGAAGAAAAATTCCTTAATCTCAAGTTGGCGGGTTTTTCTGATTATCCAAAATTGAAGAGATTCTCATTTTTACTGACCTAGATTTTCAAGAATTTCTTTCACAAAGTTTTTACTTTTTAATAAATTTAATATATTTTTTTCTCCCTTATTTACTAGAAAAGTCTCCTATTTATAAGTGACGAGTCCTTAAAATGGTATAATTTTCTATGTGATATAAACTTTAAAAAAGACAAGAATTTTTTTAAAATAATTATTTTCCAAAACAAAATGAAAATAAATTTACTTTAAATCAAATCCTCAATAAATTTAAATCTAATCTAAATCTAATCTGATGAATGGCAGTGCACAATTCAGCTTCACCCATATCCTTTTTCTACACAACAATGGCGGGTACCTCTTTGCATTGCATGTTCCGAATTTACAGTCAAACCACTTTTTAAAATACTTTCTTGCTACAAATTTAGTTTCTAACTAATTTGCATGGAATGAGAAATTCAAGCATTCAATCACTTCTTTCGTGGCAGTGAAATTTGAAATAAAATAATATTATGATAGCAATTCGAGAGATTTACAAATAGAACAGTTACTTTACAAATTTTGAAAAATTAATTGACTGTTACATCACGTTACCTTATAATGACATACATTTTTTTTCTTAATTAATGCTAACAATTGTTTTGTTTTCTAAACAAAGGCTACGCATTTTGTCCTCTTGGTAATCTGCATTGCTTCGTTCGGTCTAAACCGTAGTTGGGCGATCACATACGACGTAACAAAATTCGGCGCTGTCGGTAACGGCAGTACCGATGACTCACAGGTGATATCTCTATTTACTCCCTTCTACCTACGATTTGTTTTCCATTGTTTTTTTTTTTTTTTTTTTTTTCGAAATGTACTAACCAAATGCATGGCAAACTATTTATAGGCATTTCTACAAGCATGGAAAGCAGCATGTGGAGATAAGAGTGGAGGCACCCCAACCTTCACGGTGCCGAATGGAAAGACATTCTTCTTGAACTCTCTGGCTTTCCAGGGCCCTTGTCAATCTCAAACTATCCAAGTACAGGTATACATATAGTCAATTATATATATATATATAGAGAGAGAGAGAGAGAGAGAGAGAGAGTTCCTTTTTGTCAAAAACATTATGCCTTGGTAAAATTACTATATAATTGGTTGTTGCTTACTCATACAGTACACTTCTTCTATACGAATGGATCCGCCTCTCAGAAAACACCCAATTTCTATTTTTATTAATAGAACAAGAAAAGAGTTAAACAAATTCTAAGAAAAGCCCTTTTGGTTCACCTTTTTCTCTTAAAATATCAAAAACTTAAAACTTAATTTTATTTAATTTACTAAATATTGTATAGAAATTTAAATAATTTCCAACTTGTTGCACATCAAACACCAATTTGCGAATTATAGTATCTCCAAATTTTGTGATAAATTTTATAAATTTTTTTAAATTTTTGCAGATTTTGGGGTCTCTTGTGGCACCCAGCCAAAAGAGTCAATGGTCAAACTGCCTAGGCAACAGTTGGATATCTTTCCAAGGAATAAATAGTCTCAATGTAAATGGAAATGGATTGATAGATGCCAAAGGTGAATCCTGGTGGCACCGAGTCACCCCCACAGAGGAGGACAACCCCAGTCCTGTATGTTATCTGTTTGGTTCTTCTTCTCTTTTTGTCTTTTCATTTAAAAAAAAAAAATTTGGATTTTTTATCCTAGATGCGAAGTATTTTACTTTAAATGATTAACTGATTCATTTCTTTTTCTTTCAGCCACGTGGCGTCTGCGATCGACCGACGGTAAGATTGCATCACCTGTTTTGATTGAAACAATAGCAGTAGATTTACCGTTTGTTATGACATTGGTTCCCATCCGAGTTACCATGGTTTGGATACTAGATAAAATGTTCAATCAATTAAGCCTTTTGGGCTCTTAGACGGAGGAAGGATTAGATAAAATGCTCAATCAAGCAGGCCTTTTGCGCTTTCAGACGGAAAAAAGATTATCAATAATGAGTTGAATTTTAATTTAAATATAAGTTAAATTTAATTTAATTTTTAAATTTTTAATATAATAAAAAATATTTGATTTTAAATATTTATAACTTGAAATAAATAAATCTAATATAAAACATATAAATTCAAATTTTAATAATATTATAAATTCAAATGTACTTGGACTAAATTAAGTAAATCAAAAAATTTAAAATTTAATGTAATTGATATAATAAGTTGAAAGATTTAAGTATAAAATGTACTATTTTTTTGTTTGATTAGATTTTTTTTATTAAAATTTAGATTATTTATTAAACTCAGATATGGAAGAATAAACGAAAATTTTATAAACTTTTGGATTAGATTCAATCATAAAAATAAGTAATCAAATTTGAATTTGAATTCAAATTCAGTTAATATGATCCAAATTTGATTTATTGACAACCTTAAGAAGATTGTTTATGTAAAAACCAATATTTGTAGGTAACATTTTTCTCCAGAAAGAGATAAACAAGAATTCTGAAAATAATAAAAAATTATTTACTGAAATTGTGACTGTTTAGTGAAAATATTTTGAGATGTTATTTTTTTTTATCAGTTTTAGAATAATCTACCCTCGAAAGTTAAAAACTTTCAGTAACATTACCTATAAAGAAATGCCTCCCATCTTTGTGGTTCCAATTTTCAAAATATTGTGAATTTAATTTTTATTATTAATTTTATGCAGGCCATGAAATTTGCAAATTGCAATGGGCTTCTACTGAGCGGATTGAATATTCAAAATAGTCCAAGGAACCATATCAGTATAGACCAGTGTGACGGTGCACAAATCTCCGCCCTCACCATAAATTCGCCTGCAAACAGCCCTAACACTGACGGAATTGACATGTATAGGTCAAAACATGTTTCTATTACAAATTCCAACTTTCAATGTGGTAATTAATTCAATTTCCATTTATACCCTTCACCAAAATTTCTTCTTTTTCTTTTTCTAATTAATTTATATATATATATATATATATAATAAAAAAAATTAATATGTGCGTAGGTGATGATTGCATTGCTGTCAACACCGGGTGCTCAGACGTTAACATTACAGGTGTTTCATGCGGGCCTGGCCATGGTATAAGGTGGAGAACGAAGTAATCTTGGTGGATAAAATTAAAAATTAAGTGTTGAATTTTTTAAAATAAAAATTTTAATAATGTCCAATAGTTCTAACGACAGAAATATAAGTGATTTATTCTTCATCACATTTGAAATTTAGAGCTGTTTTTAGCTATTTCGTGTATAAAAAAAAAAAAAGTACTAAACCCAATTTTAAGTATTATATTATACCAATAAATAAGTAACTATGTTATTAGTTTCTTTCTCCATGCACAGTGTGGGAAGTCTAGGAAGAGGTGGAAGCTCCGCTCAAGTGGAATTTATACGCGTGCAACAGTGTAACTTCACAAACTCATTGAATGGTGCAAGGATAAAAACATGGCCGGTATAATATTAACTATCAAAGCTCGACGAAAATCACAACCAGCAGAAGAAGAGCAAATTAAATGGTTGTTAACGTTTGTACTCTGGTTTTTCAGGGAGGGACTGGGTTTGCGAAGAACATCTTCTTCGACCAAATCTCCGTCAACGCGGCCACTCATCCCATTGTCATTGACCAACATTACTGCAACGGCCGATCGTTTTGTCCAGAGCAGGTAATGAGAGTTTGATGATGTGTTGTGACGTTTGATTTGCTCATTATTTAATCCGTGGTTAATATTACAGACGAAAGCTGTACAAGTGAGTAGCGTGTTCTTCACAAATGTACGAGGAACATCAGGTGGAAAAGAAGCAATTAAGTTGGATTGCAGCAAAAACGTGCCCTGTCAGGACATTCATCTACAAAATGTTAGCTTAACCTCGTCAACCCCAGGAGGAAGTGTTTTTGCTACATGCCATAATGCCAAGGGACAATTCAGTTCTATACCTCCGGTCACTTGCACATGACACCACCCACGTCATGTGCCTCCCCTGCTGCAAGTTGCATTTCAAGCATGACTCTATTAAAATTATGTTACTTCCCTGAAGTCAACATTTTCATGTTATTCAGAGCAAATAAAATGAATAATTATTCCGAATATTATGGTGTATGAATGTAATGAAACTACCCTTACTCTTGCAAGCTCGTTATTTAGAGTGATATTTTAACCCTTTATCTTGCTCTTAAAAAGAAGAAAAAGGAAAAGGAGAAATGGATGGTTATGAGAAAGACAAGCTCTATTGAATTGGCACTTATATCAGTGGCTGCTGAGTTTTTCTTGGAATTGCCATTCAAGTGGTTGCTTTTTTTATTAACAATTAACAAGACTTCAATCCACATTTCCAAACACGCTCGTGCACGCTTTAAATGAGATATGCAACAACAAAAACAGGTCTTGGTTGTGATCCTAATTGCAATAATATGCAATAAAATTAAATTGCACCGTTTTTGGGACACAGTATTTTAATGCCTATAAAAATTCCCTATACATACTTCCACCGTTACTTGAGTGCATGCAATGAGGTATTTTAGTCTGCCCTCCTTTTAGATTTAACAACACTTAGTAGAGTGATGCAACTTCGGCCAAGAGGGGAATACTAGCACCTAATCGATATTTATAATATAATGAACCCTCTTTGTCATTGGAAAATTTTAATCCTAATAGGTTTCCGCTATTTGCACCCATATTGTCAGAACAGAGGCGAGCCTAGTGGCTAAAGGCGATGGCTTTTTATGGTGTTATTCCGTTAGTTATTCGTTTGGGAAGATTCTTGAGAGATTTGAGATTAGTGAATAACTATTTAAAAATTTGTGTATGAATGAATTTTGTTTCAAAAAAAAAAAAAAAAATTAAGTGTAGCGCTCACTGTAATATTATTGTAGCTTGCCATAGCAAGGCTGGAGGTTGTTTGACTGGATTATGGCATTTTCCGTCGGATTTCTTTGTGATTTTCCATGATTTTAAAGATTTTCTCATCCTTCAACAAGGACTTCTACATCCCCTAGGACATCTTGGATCATAAAAGAGAAGCCTGGGCAATTTTCCATTGTATCTAAAATCATTTAACATTTAATCAATCTTCATTCAATACTGCAAGAAATTTTATCATTTTTTTTTTTTAAAAGACCTTTTTTGTTTGGCTATCCCAGAAAAATTCATTTGTAAATATAAAAACTAAAAAAGGTATTTGACAATTTTTTCACCATATAATCCTATTTTATATTGAAATAAAATAAAATTACACGATAAAAATTCAAAAGAATTATAAAAATAGTAAAATTAGATTCTCAAATGTTGGAATTTTGTAAATTTTTAACTTCTTTTTATATTGAATTAAATATTTAATCTAAAAATTAAAAATAAGACATTCGGAAAATCTCTTAATTTTTTTCAATGTAAATACATTAATTCTATATAATAAAAATTCTGTTTTATTTTTATGCAATGTGTTTATATATTATATTTAATACAATATACAAATATATATATATATATATAAAATTTCGTCTAAATTTTAAATTAATATCATTTCATACCAATTAGATGAAAATTAATAGGATAGATCACTTTTGGTAGTACATTGAAACTAAAATAATATATTTCTATAATTAAAATTGAGAATTAAATTAAATTATATTAAACGAAAAAACTTTTTGGAGGATGATACGTTTCCAAGGCCGATATGGGCCCATTTACAAAAGTTTCAGACGTACTCATATAGGTCCAGATATCATTCAAGAAGAAGAACAAACCCAAGCCCACCGAGAGCCCAAAACTTTTTTAGTCTTCATCTTGTTCAGTTTGAATAAAGGTCTACAGGAAATTGTAACCACAAGAAAAAAAAAAAAAAAAAAATGTCTACAGGCAATTGTTCTGCAAACAGCATTTTCATTTCAACGTTATTGAAAAGAAATTTAAAGTAATATTCTGTTGGAATAAATGAATAGATAACTAAGTAAAAGAAATCAATGCTAAATGACACCGTGCTAGAAGGAAAACTCCCAATTTCATGTCAAAAAAATTAATTCCAAGCACCAAGCTGAATAAATATAAAACACTCAAAGTCCTAGCCGTTAATCGTAACTATTTATTCATACTAATAAAAGGATAATATCTATCTCAAATAATTTTATTCCTAATCTAATTTCTAATATCTAGTCTTATCTTCAATTCTTGAAATCCTAACTTCCATTTTATACTCTTCTCTAACATATTGGGGGACATGAAACTCTTTTTGCAGCTTTTTTTTTTTTCCTTTTTCCTAATTGGAATTTTAGTTAAACATGAAAAACCGAATTCCCCACCGTTATTTTATTGGGACTTTTGGGAGCGCAAAAGAGCTCTTAAAAGCTCATAGAAGCTGGCTTTCTTTTTAGAAAACCCTCTTTTTGGGCTTCCAAGGCTTTTTGACCCTCTTCAGAGTGAACAATCGTAATTTTTAGAAATTTGGATTATTTCAAGTTTTTCTTATTTCTCTCTGTTCTTTTTATAAAATGTAATTTAAGCTAGTAAAATCTAATCTAATCTAAACAAGTAATTTGATGGAAGAATTTTTAATTTATATTTTTTCCCCTACTTTGTAGTTATAAAAAATAAAATCTAATAAATTTCTCTTATACTAATCACCAAGGAATTCAACTTAACATTTAAGATCTTCTCTACTAAAAGAAACCTGTAAAAAGCAAAGATGTAACTTTAATAATTTTGCCAAATAAATCTCAGATAAATAATATTAAAGACATGATAGTTTTGTGCATATATAAATTCCCAAAGGAAAAAAGTATAAATATTTATCCCATCTTCACAAAATAAAACTCCTTTATAAAAATCATAAACAAATAAATAAATGAATTGAATGATATAAACAAAAGGAGTAGATAGGTAGGAACTGTATTTTCTCCGTTAGTTTCCTATCTTCTTCATCATTCCTCAATTGTTTTTGAATTGTATACGCTTTGTCAAAACATTTTATGTCAAAATTTTCAATGGACATTGACAAAATTTTTGGTGGACTTTCAGATGGAAGCAACAAGATTTTCAAAGGAATTTCCAGCAAAGTCCACTAGAAATTTTGATGAACTATTTGATGGTGATGGCTAAAAAATCCAACAAACTTTCTAGCGGTCTTCGCCGTAGAGACTCGGAAATTTTTTGGTAGAGTTTGCCAAAATTTCTAATAGATTTTCCAACAGACTTTGTCGATATCTCTAGCAAACTTTCAGACAGCACTCCCGACAAAGACAATGGAGAATTCTGATGGACTTTTCATTGGTTTTTGCCAAATTTTCAAATTGAGTTTCCAATGGAATTTTCAAGGAGTTTCTAACAACCTCTCCAATAGCATTGTCAACAAAATTTCCATTATTTTCCTTATATTTGTATTTTTGGGTTTCCATTTTATTTTTTCTATTTTATATTTTAATAATTTAATTTATTTATATTTTTATATTTCATTTTTTATATTACCAAATCTATTTTTCAATTTTTATATTTAATTTTTAACATATTTATTATATTATTAGTAATGTAATATCCCTGATTTTTTTTTAAAAAAATTAAGTTAATTTTTTTAGCCAAAGACTTAATTGAAGGAATAAAAGATTTGGGGTTGATTTTAAAATTTTCAAGCTTAATTGAAGAAATTGAAAGTTTTAGGAACTGAATCAGATTCTGTTAAGAGCGTAGGGACTTGATTATAACAAATTAAAAAGTTCAGGGACTTTTTTGCAAGTCAACAATGGCGGAAGGCAGTCGACGTTTCAGTTGCAAATCTATGCAGATTTTGGATTTTTCTTGACCAAGCGACCTTAAATTTGGCTTCTTTGGCTTGAAACGAACGAAAACTCTTGATCAATTTGAACAAAAGCCGTCTCAGAGTGCTCCAATTTCTTAGTTTTTTTGTCGGTGTCCTTTTGCCCCTTTCAATCAAATTAAACCAGAAAAGTTTCTTTTAATTTGATTAAAAGCTTGCTCGATGAGCAGCTAGTTGAGCTTCGTGATTTTAGATGATGAATCAATTAAGGTGAGTGTGTTTTTGATTTTTTCTAATTTTTCTGGAATTTTTTTCAGCTTTGGGTCGCAACAAACCTGGTTTCTGCAAACCGAGTTTGCTGACCTTGTTAAACTGGGTAAGGGAGAAGGGAACTAGATGATCTGAGTCTTGTTTGGATTTTGTCTAGGCCATGGGCCCCAGACCTAGCTACGGGTAAGTCGCATGGGCCACGTGGGCCATGCAGCCCGCGTGGGCTGGGCCACACAAGCTTGGTTGCAAGCCGGCCTAGTTATTTTTTTTTTAAAAAAAGAGATATTTGGGCTTGGGCCTAGCCCAAGCCAAGCCATTGGGCCACGGCCCAAGCCGATGGTCCAAGCTGTGAACCGGCCTGAGCTGGTGGCGAGTTGGCAGCTGAGCCGGAAAAATAATAATAATAAAAAGAAAAAGTTGACTGAACCGGCCAAATTGGTTTGACCAGCCAGTTTAGTGGTCAAATGACCTTGGAATTGGAAATTTGAACCGATTCCAGAATCAGAAAGAAAAGATCTAGTAGATCGAGTTGGTCCACGGGTTCGGGAGGTTCGATTTGATCGAAAATTTAGTATTTTTGATTGAACTGGCCCAATTTAAGATAAATTAAGGGTTAAATGGCCGGTTTAGCTTTATTTTGGCTCATTTCTGACCAATTCATAGTGGTTCCTAGAATTTTGGGCCTTTTGAATCTAAATTTGAGAGTTTCGTTGCCAAATCAGTTTGATTTAAGGTAGTTTTAGGCCAATTAATAATTTTGGAGGCTAGTTGAAGTTGGTTCAAGGGCTTTGGAAACTGGTTTCAGTGTGGTTTAAGGGTTTTACGGGTTTGGATGTGTTATTGAGTTACATAGGTTATGAGTGTCGGGAAATGACCTTGGGATGCGTGCTAAGGTCCCACAATGTGATTCTAGTCCATTTTGTGTATTAGAGCCTGCAAGTGGG